TTTAGCTCAAAATATGCTCAGAAGTATCATTAAAAGGAGAATCACAGACTCATGAATCTGCCATGAGAACTGTGGCATCTATTAATAGAAGCTGCCCTAAAGCCAATAATAATAATGTCTTGCCAGAGAAATGAGGAGTCTACCAAATGGCTTTGTCATTGTTAGACTGGAAACATCTATTCAGCACAGCACATTCATTTCTAAACCAGAACTATTTGGGTTTATTGCTAACATGCAGATTTACAGTTCGAGTACAAATGTCTTGTTTTCCCCTGTTGAATAACAACCATTATTATAAATTTTTCTTTTGAAAGTAGCATTTTCATCCTGCCCAGTGTTCAAACTCTGTTTGTAACTGGGCCTTACTACATAGCCAAGGCTGGCCTTGAACTCAAGATCTACCTATTGCTGCTTCCCACGTGTTGGGATTATAGTTGTACACCACTATGCCCAGATGGTGCTCAAACTCTTGACTTAAGCAGTCATGAAACAAGCTTCATTTCACAATCTATGCCTGGACTTGTCAGAGTGCCTCCTTCAATGAGTCTAAGTAATGAGCAGTAGATTATAAAAGTCAGATGTACTATGTGCCACCTTGGGCTACCCATAGGTGGAGGCCATTGTTAGTAAGATAGCTAGGAAAAGTCTTGCGCAGTTCACACTCTGCAAAGTATAAACTAAATCTTTTGCTCTTTTATATTTCTTATTATTCTCAGTTGGATTCTTTGGATTAGCCAGCTACACACTCCTTTTCTGTATTCAATGGTTCCTGTTCAAACTCAAATTATTATCCCATCTCAAGTCTTCTTTCACTGTATACATCTTGAAGAAATAGTTCATGCTTCTTGTTATACCTCTCCATCCTGCTTAGATAGTCACGGAGGAAAGTTTTGTGACCTTCAGATTATTGCTTTCTCATTACAAAAAGTGAGGACCAGGCATACATCTTTTCCTACTCTTGATTTTGAAAGTTCTATGAGTTACATGCTTTGAAGGCCAAGTGGATGCTCTGTGACTAGACCGGCTTCTTTGTGTTAAAAAATGGATTCTGGAATGTCTGGAGACAGATCTAGAGCAGAAGGCAAGGATGGCTAGAGAGATCAGAGTGTAGCAAAGGTTTGAAGAGTGAAGAAAGATCGATATTATGAAAGAACAAATGTGGCTGTTCAGATTTTCTGAGACTAGCTTTCATATTAGTGGTGTGAGTCAAAGATGCAATCCATGGCATCAGTCAGCTATCCCTTGGAATCTAAAAAATGAGCTATGTCAGCACAAGGTTAAATTGCTGAAGCGAAAAGCAAGAATGATGGGGAAGCAAAATAAGTAAGACGAGAGAACAGAGGAAAGTTTTTCTCTAGTTTTTTTAAAATAAATTCTACAGGTGTATACAACAGAAGGAAGAGCTACTATAAGGAAAATCTGCATTGATTCCATGAAGGAAGGAAAAAGAAGGAAAGGCTTTTCTGGGAGAACATGGGGAAGAGGGTTTGTTTCATAAACAACAGAAGCAGCTGCTCAGCAAGAATGTGGAGTAGGGGGTTAATAAATCAGAATGATTATGACACACATTTTGGCTGGAATTCAAATCCGAGGGGTAGGAATCCTATAGGCTTCACATCTGTAGAGAAGTTGGATGTGATAAAAGATCCTATCAAGAATAAGAGGCCATGCAGTGGGAAGACCTCGGTGGGGATAGAAGGCCAAGGCTAAATTTTCTGACCATTTGCTTTAGGAAGGAAGGCGTAGATAGAGGAGGTATCGTGATTCCATTCAGAGCCAGAGGATAATTAGGCATACTCCACAGAGGAATGTGGCGGGGAAGTCGAGTCCAAAGTGGAGGTCAGCTGCACAAGTGGGTGGGAGAGGTATGAGGGGGAGTAGGAGACAATCAACAGTCACAGGAGCCAACAGAATGAAAAGACATCAAACCCATGTTTCAGCAGCACATTGTTCCAAATAGCATCAGGACAGGTATTGTTGGAGGCCAACTTGGTTCAGAGTCAGTTTGGATCCATGCACTTTATCTGGTATTCATGGAATTCTGGCATCACTCAGAAGGGAAGTGGGACCGGGTGTGTGAACTAGAGTCCATCAGGGATGTAAGGTTCCATGCTGGAGCCTTGCTTATAAAATCACAAAGTAGGAGAGACTGGGGTTGATGTAGCATCGGCTCCTTGCTGGCTAACTGGGTGCAATCCTTTATCTTTTTCCTTAGGAACTTCTTGCTGGGTTAACATAGGTCCTCAAGTCTGAGTGAAACAACTACATCACAATTTGGCTGGTGTACAACAGGAGGCAAGCAAATCTTACAAATCTATGTCAGCAATTATGAGAGGGAGAGAAGGGATGATTGCCATGGACTTTCTAATGTACATTAAAGAACATATGTGTATATTTTCTTATGTACATTTTCATTCATTTCAAATACCTTTGAAAGCGGTTACATGAAGAGTGTATAAAGGAGAAAGTTAAATCTGTCAAATGAGGATGAGAAATAGTCAAAGATTTACTAACTACATCATAGGTTTAATGTCATTTAAGTGTTACTGCTCTCCACTGTGGTTTGCATTACCATCTCCAGTTTACAGGTATATGTTTAGTTTGTGTGCTACAGATGCTGATCATCATCTAATCCTTGCAACATAAGAGTATGTATACTAATAACTCCATTTTCTAGATGGAAATTTCCAGTTCATGGAAAAGGTCAGTAACTCGACTCAATGCTACCCAATCAGAAAGGGATAGAACCAGAATATACAAATTCAGTCAATATTTCTAACATCGAGAATATGTGGATTTTTTTTGACTGAGTATTTGACGTAAGGGCTTCATATTTGCTAGGCAGGTACTCTACTGCTGAGCCACATTTCCAGGCTTGTTTTGGGCTAATTATTGTTGTTTCTTTCATTGACTTGTGCCTGGGTCATGAGCTGCCTAGTTTTAGGCTTCCTATCTTGCTGGAGTGAAAGGCAAGCGTCACCATGTCCAGCTTCCCTTATGGATTTTATGGAGTGGTTGCTGTGACTGGTCCTCTCAATTGCAGCCTTTTATGTAGCTAATATGCCAGGTATGTGGCTCTCAGCTGTGGTTGAGAAGGGATCTTATGAGCTTTTCTACCTGGGCTGCCATTCTCTCACTCTAAGCCACCAATTAGCCATAATGAAAGGCATGAGCCACCAGTTCCTGGTCAGAGCCCAGAATCTCAACTCCAGTGACAAATGTAGTTTAATTAGTCAGTCAAAATTAAAAGAAAAAGGAGAGGAAAGATATACTTGCAAAGCCTTGGAGTAATGAAGATGATAATAGCATAGTAAACTTTTATGGATGGCTTATTGTGTGCCAGCTCCCATTCTGAGTGCCTTGCCTAGACTGAGATTTCAGAATCATCATTTGCTTCTTTCACTGGAATCTTAGAATGTAATATATCATAGGTGCTTAATAAATATTTGTTAAGGAAATCTTAAAAGATAATGTGACCCAGCAATATAGAGAATATACAGCAATATATAGTAATATACAGAATTTAAAATGGGGTTTCAAATAGGTATGTGTAAATCCATATTCACAACATTATTCACAACAGCCAACAGGTGGAAAGAATCTAAATTTCCATTGACAAATGAATGGATGAACCAATATGGTTATATTCATTCAATAGATACCTGCTACAACCAGAACCTTGCAGATATCATATAAAGGGAAATAGGTCAGACACAAAAAGACAAGTCCAAGAATGATTTTTGCTGATGAAAGATACTTAGAATAGGCAACTTCACAGGACAGAAAATAGAATGGTTGTTGCTAAGTATTGGGCTGAAGGAAGACTTGGGAGCTGTTTAATGGTACAGAGTTTTTCATGCATGTATAAGCATTATTACATGCATTTCACTACAACCAAAATTAAAAAAGAAAAGAAAAGAAAGACTCTTGGCTCCGTGAGTGATGCCTGTCTGCAATCCCACAAATTGGAAACCAAATTGTAAGGCCAGACTTAGCTATATAGTGTTTGTCTAGTCTGACCTACGTAGTGAGACTGCAACTAACAGCAGCAGCAGAAACAAGAACAAATCAAGACTCTTGGTAGTAGAGTCCTCGTATATTTCACTTTAAAAGAATAAGATGGTGACAAGAAATATACTCACTACCTGACTTATGTAACTGTAACCCCTCTGTGTATCACCTTGACAATAACATTTAATTAGGGAAAAAAATAAGATGCTTGCCAAGAGCTGCTGTAATACTACTCAGCTGGAAGGTGAGCTGTGGTGCAAATGATAAAGCATTAGCCTTGAGCACAGAAGCTCAGGGATAGCACCTTGACCCTGAGTTCAAGCCCCAGGACTGGCACCAACCACAGACCAAACAAAAAACAGAAACAAAAGAACATGCGGCTAAAAAGGAGTAATCAATTTAAGTCAAAGAAAAATGCAGATTATAAAGGAAAAAAGGATGCAAGATACTATAAATAAGCTAGGCATGGTAGCACATGCCTATAATCCTAGTTACTTGCAAGGCAAAAGGAAAAAGGATTTTAAGTTTAAAGCAAGCTCTGGAAAAGTTAGCAAGATCTTATCTCAGAAACCAATCAAAGGTCTAGGGTCATCTAAGAGGTTTAGTAAAATGCTGAGTGTTTGCCTACCATACATGAGACCTTGAATTGCCTTCAGTCTTGAGGGGAGGGGGGAGAGAGAGGGACAGACAGACAGAGAGAGACAGAGACAGAGAGAGGGAAAGAGAGAGAGGAAGAGAAAGAGGAAAAGAGAGAAAGGAAAAGAGAGAGAACATAAATACCCTGTATAACCTGTATTAGAATGAGGAGGAATCATTTCCTGTTACAAATAACATTTTCTTCAATGTCTTTCAAACGTACTATGTATTCTCTAGCATGTTACAGTAATCTCTATAGAGATTGAGGAACCTAAGGCCTGTGATGCTTTTGAAGCAAGCGGATCAGCTGCTCTGAAGTAAGTTCTCGGTGTCATGGACCTCTGGACACTCACCTGTCCACACGGAGCTGGCAGACAATGCTTAATGTATCAACCACTCCTTCTTCTTTCAACTGCTGACAACCAATGGATGTAGCAATAAAACACCCAGTTCTACCGATCCCTGCGCTGAAAGGAAAAGAAAAGGAATTAAAAAATGGGGAAAGATAACAAAGTTATCTAAAGTCTTCTAAAAGGATATTTTTCAATATGAAACAAAGGTGAGAGTATAATAAAAAAATATGTGTTGAGTATTACGCACCAGGCCTTATGCTGTGATGTGTGTGTGTGTGTGTGTGTGTGTGTGTGTGTGTGTGTGTGTGTGGTGATTTGAACTCAGTATCTCACACTTGCAAGGCAAGTCCTCTACCAATTGAACCATGCCCCAGTCCTTAAATATATCATTTCACTTAGTTTTAAGTGATAGGATGAGAAATAGTAGGATAGTGGGGTGGAAGGAGGAGATGGGCAGGCTGGAAGGAGATGGGCAGGCTGGGGAGGAGGGGGGCACTGCATATGGTTCTGGAATGAATAACAAGAGTTTGAGCTCAGGTAAAACATAAGCAGTAGAAAGAAGGGGAGAAGGTTTAGATTTATAACAAATATGAGTCTAAAGGACTGGAGTTGAAGTTGACAAGAACAAAGGTGATGAGATCTGGAGACTAAAAAGGATGAGGGAACACCAAGGCATAGGTGAATTCAGGAATAAGGGATAGTTGGAGGAGGCTGGTATGAGGAGTTCAGATGTTGAGAAGTCGTGAATAAGCAATGGTTCAGTTCTATTGAGGAGAGAAGATGGGGCTGGAGCCACATATTTCCAGGCTATTTATATAGAGGTAATATTTGACTAGAAACGCTGCCTTAGAAGACATATCCATGGATGGGGAACCTGCCAATCTCCCTCCCCATTTATCCTGCGAAGTCTTCATGTAAATTCCTCTCAAGTCTTTATCTAAACTCCCTACATTCCTCCCAGCTGGAATTCTGGTGGTTGCTATTTTACACTTGTTCAGGGTAACTAAATTGGATGTCTTAAAGATGGACTTAATTATCTTTTCCCTCAATGACATTGCCCGTCAGCCAAGTTTTTCCAGCCTAGAAATCTTGGAGCCATCTTCACTATCTCCCCCTCTGTCACCTCCCACATCCCATCTGTTACCCATTCCTCCATTTCCCCCATCTCTGCTGAGACTTTGTGGTTCTGTACTTTCCTTTCTGTAGACTTACTCATGTCTTCAACATCTCTTGATTTAATGATGAGAAGTGATGTCATGGTTTTCCACGTCTCCAATGTTTCCCTGAACTTAAAATTCATGATACATACAACGAAAAGCTAGGCTCCTCTATCTAAACTAAGGACTTCATTATATCATTCCCTACTAAAAACCTATAGGTAGTCCCATGCAGCACAGTATCAAACCTACCATGGTACTCATGACCTAGCAAAATATGAATGTAACTAACTTGATGTATTTTTGCTGTCTATGTCTTTGATGTATTTTTGCTACTCTATGTGCTATTGCTTTCGTTTTCATGAACTCTTGCAACCAAAGCCTTTTATTCTTCAATTTTTCTTTCTATGTTAATGATGACTTCTCAAGCAGGAAAAAAAAGCGCTTGCCCATCTTTGCAAAACCACAAACATTTCCTTCTTCCTTCCTTCCCTTCTTCCTTCCTTCCTTCCTTCCTTTCTTCCTCTCTCCTTCTTTCCTTGTTTCTTTCCCTCCCTCCCTCCCTCCCTCCTTCCCTCCTTCTCTCCCTCCCTCCCTCCCTCCCTCCCTTCCTTCCTTCCTTCCTCAGCCTAACATTATTCCATTGGTTAGAAGCTATCTTCAATTCTCATGGTTAGAATTAATTGCTCTTCTCTTGGTTCCTCAGATAGCAAATATTTCTTCTATTTGACTTTTGTATCTTGTTGAATATGAGGACAGAAAAATTGAAAAGAAATGAATCCTTATATTTGAAGTGTCTACAAAGAGTTTGTTTTGAGGAAGAGATAGGATTTGAGAGCATGTTGTCTTCAATGAATGAGAAAGTACATTCCATGTATGACATCGATATAAATAAGAATTAATGCAGGACAAAATATGTGACTTGTAACAGTAAGCAGCCTAGCCTGGCTGGAAGAGAAAAGTGTTTTGGTGGAAGAGTGGGCAAGTAATATTGAGAAGGTAATCTTTATATGAAGGACTAAAAACTTTGGACTGTGTCCTTTACACTTCTTTTTTTGAAATCGATGGAAACTGAAATTTCTTTGGCTTTTGCTTTTTATAAATTTTTAGTTATTATAAAGATAATTTTTGAGGGGTTACATTATATTAGTCATATAATGAATACATTTCTTTTTTGGACATCACCCCTTTCCTAGCTCTCTTCCAGTTTTTCCCTCCTGTCCCCATCCACAAGTTGTATAGTTCATTTTCAACATAGTATCTAGTGAATACTACTGTTGCATCTATTCAGTTTTTTCATACTTTTTTATTGTTAAAAATGCTGTACAGAGGGGTTACAGTTACATGAGCAAGGTAATGAGTACATTTCCTATTACATATTGTTGCCTCCTCCTTTGTTTTCCCCCTACCATCCTTTCCTTCCCACCTCCACAACTACACCCCCACCACCCACCCCCACCTGCTGAAGGTGTAAAGTTCGATTTCAACACAGTGTTTTGTACATCTCATTGTTACAATGGGCCAGCCTGTATCCTTATTTAAGCATTTTGTCTTTTTCTTTTTCCCTCCCCGAATTAGAGAAATGTATATACAAGATGCAGGGCACCAACATCAAATACAGTGTCTATTCAGTTTTTATTCCTCCATTTCTCCTTACCCCTCCCAAGGACAGAAAAATAAATAAGGTAAAAAGAAAGGGAAAAAAACCCAACAATAACAAAGAAAAAATGAACTCTTGTTTCCATTTCCTGGAGTTCATTTCAATAAATATTATTTTGTATGATCAGAGGGAAACTGAATTTTTGCTCCCTGGGGGAAAATCCACAAAAGCTTATACACAAGTGATTTTTATATGTGAGTAATTTTAAAGAGACCACCGATCTCTGTAGTTTATACATAGACTCAAGGTTAGGAACTCCTGGGCAATGTGAAGTCACTGACAAGTTTTGAACCCATGGACTCAAAATGATGAGTAGTTTTTGGCCTATTATTCCAGAGACATGCATAGGCTAGGCCACCATGGCCTAGGGAATAAGGGTACGTGTATTCAATTAGTCAAGTATAGTTGAACAACATGGGTGAGGTCATAAGGGCCTGAACTGGGGTGGTTGGCCAGGAAATGGTGATTATGGGAGAAGCTTTGAAGGAAAGCCAATCTAGTGACTGATTAGATACTGAGGCTGAAGTTGAAAGAAGAGCCAAAGATAACTGTCATCTCTGGTCACTCAGTGACTGGAAAAAAGTAGGCCTCATTCTTAGAAATAGTAATCAGAGAGGGGACCTGGTTTTACAGGGAAAGTACCTAGTTTAGTTTAGATATTCCGAGCACTTAATGATCCAGTCTTAAACCATTGCCAGATATGTCCCCCGCCCCTCCATTTGGCTCCAAACTAAGTTTAGGATAAATTATAACGCTGGAAGCCAGATAATGATACCTTTGGATAAATAGACATATAATCATTTTACTTTAATTCACATAATCTCAAAAAGGAGCCTAAAACTGTAACCTAAAATAATACCATATTTATTATACACAATATCTAACGCTCTCTAAATGGAACTTATAAGGTTAAACATAGTAATATCAATTATTTTGAAAAAGTATGAGAATAAATGGTTAGTCATGTAAATAACTTTAAAATACTTTCTTAACCAGTTATGGGAGATGAGCTTTAACCCGAGGTTATGGGCCACCACGGACAATTGATGTTGCTAATGGCCTGGTTTCCATGACCCCCTTCCAGTAAGAGTGTTTTGCTTTACTTTTAATAAGCAATCACTTGTCTACTTCCCACTTTATCAATTCATCTTCACCTTCTTTACATGCGATAACTCTAAGAATAGTTGACTGGTTCCACCAAGTGTAACATAATGATAAATATTATCAAGAACATAGTTCATCAGGTGTAGTGGTGCATGCCTATAATCCCAGCACTTGTGAGGCTGAGGCGGGAGGATTGGGAGTTTGAGGCCTGCCTAGGTTACATGGCGTGCTGCTGTTTCAGAAAGAAAATGACACAATCTAGGTTCCATCTTAAAACAATAACAAAAAGTTATCAGTGATTTTGGAAAGGATACCTGTAACTCCTAGTGTGCATGAGACGGAAGAGACGAAAATGAATCAATGAAAGTTTCAAGTTTCAAGAGAAGTTTCAAGTTAGATGACTGAATAAGATCTCCTGTTCACTGAGCCACTTATTAAGAACTAGTATTTTGTCCATTGTGGAACTGTTTATTGAAAAATGCTCCCTAAGTGTGAATGCATGTCTGTAAGCATCATCTTGAATAAGATTCAAATACCTGGAAATAAACCAACTTCGATCAATGTTTAATTTAACAAGTAAGTTATATCGGGGAATCAGAGCTCTATTTCCTATGAATCTATAGAGAATGGAGAGTTATTTCAGTAGAAAGATCAGTTAGTGTCTTACCTGCAGTGGACCACGACAGGCCCTCGGCCCCCAGAAGCCAGTCTGTCTTCCTCCACATCCAGCATTAGCTGTAGGAGGGGCTGGGCGCTGTCTGGAGTCTTGTGATCTGGCCATGAGGTGTACCAGTAATGCTTCACATGCTGGGTGTGACTTCCTTGCTGAAAATAGCAAGAGCCATCAAATGCCTTATTCACTTGGGCAAAGAAAAGTGTCTAAAACACAGGATTGAATGCTTCCTCTCTCTCCCATCTCACTGGTCATTTACTTCGATGTGGAAAACATACCTAAATTCTTTTCTTTTTAATTCTTTCACCTTGAGAAAACCTGACCTTAAAGTTGGACAGATTACCTCCAGATCTCTATCTGCTTGGATAATATAGATAATGTATGTGCCATAGGCTAAATATATGCTTATATACTTTGTTACAATAATGAAAGTGTCAGATAAGAATATCACCAAGAAAGAAAGATATATTGTGTTTTCCCAGGACAGGTTATTCTAAACGTACCAATCCATATAAGAACTTTTTTTTTATATTCAGTTGTATTAATATCTCTACATCCTATCTCACACTTCAGTATTTAGTAGCAGCAAGGAATCAAAGTAGGGATTCCTGGACTGGAAACACCTGGAAGGCTCATGTGCATCATGTCAAGACAGCACCAGAAGGGGGTGTGATATGGATCAGGCTTGTGCTGGAAAACAGGTTTTGGAGCTGAATATGCTGGTGCACTCCTGTGATCTCAGCACTCAGAAGGGCTAGGAATGCACTTCAGTAGTAGAGCACCTTGCCTACTTATATGCAAGGGTCTGGGATCTATCCCTAGCTCAGACAACAAACAAAACAAAATAGGTTTGGGTAAATGCTTTCTTATACCACACTTTAAATAAAAACCAGCATCTCTGCCTCCACTCTGCCTCTTCGTGATGATTTTATCCCTGCACAGAGACTGCAGATAATATTGAAATCCTTGGGAAGATTATTCTTTACAGGCCAAAATAATACCATGGCAACATTCCTCAGCATCTGTTGCCTATGAGCTAAATAAGTTAATTTTTCTATGACATAAGCTGGTCTGGGGAAAGTCCCTATAAATGACTGGAATGCCAGGATTTTGAAGATATCATCAACACTTCAGGCTCATGTTGCTTCCCACAACCACCCACCCCTGCAGATTTTATCCTTCAAACTTTGCAGGCCTTAAAGCTGCTGAGACCAACATGATATTTAAAAAATTCCTGATAAAGCCTCTAGCAGGAGCCTTGCTGGGTAGAAGTGGCTAACACTTGTAATCCTCTCTACTCAGGAGGTTGAGATCTGAGGATGGTAGTTTGAAGCCAGCCCAGGCAGGAAAGTCTGTGAGGTACTTATTTCTAATTAACTGCCAAAAAAGCTGGATGTGGAGCTGAGACTCAAGTAGAACTCTAGCCTTGAGCAAAAAACAAAACAAAACAAAACTAAGGGACAGTTCCCAGATCACAAGTGCAAGCCCCAGCACATGTGCACACATTCATCGCCCCCCACATACTCATACACACACGTTAAATGTAAGATGCTCTATTATCCAACTTAGAAAATCTACTGTCCTACAAAAACCTTCCTTAGTGTCCTCCTTTCATTAATTTAATTATTCCACATAATAACAGTAGCTGACAATAAAAGAATACACAAAAGAACCATTGGAGTTTCTCTTTAATCTTAATTATATTTTAGTATGAATCATTTCAAGTTAGAAGTGAAATCTTCTCACTTCATCTACTTTGAAGATAGCAAGAGCTATCTAATCTTACCTTTAAGATGAGGTTTCTCACTGTGTAGTTATCACATTCATTAACACTGATAACCAGCACCTCTACCTTCCCATAGATACCCCTCTTTTCTGGCCAGTAGAGTACACATTTCTGGTGGGGGAGGGGATGGGGAGAAAAAGAACACAGCAATTATTAATGGATGTTGTTAATGTTGGAATTCTTTTCACTAAAGCACCTCAAAAGATTTTTTTATCTTTCTTCATTAAAAATCAATGACCATAACCCCTGTTCTCACTGTATTAATTCGGGTGCCCTGCATTTTGTATATACATTTGTCTAATTTGGGGAGAGGAAGGGAAATAACAAAATGCTGAAACAAGGATACAGGTCGATCCATAACAATGAGATGTACAAAACGCTATGTTGAAAATGAACTTTACAACTTCGGGGGTGGGGGGGGAGGGAGGAGCTGTGGAGGTGGGGAGGGAAGGGATGGTAGGGGAAATACAAAGGAGGAGATAACAATGCTCAATAGGAAATGGACTCATTACCTTACTCATGTAACTGTAACCCCTCTGTACAGTATTTTTACAATAAAAACATATTAAAAATCAATTACCAATATTTAACATTCTCTTGACTAATTACCTAGCAACTGTTCTGCATGCTAAAGTCATGCAGGAAATTCATCTGTACTCAGCACGCACAGTTTCCTTAATCTATTATAATAAAAAGTACACGCCCACATTATAATAAAAATATCTTCCACACTCTGACCCTTCTTCAAATAAAGTGGATCCTTTTATCGTTCTTTACACAGGCAAACCAGACTGATGGCTTAGTGTTAAGACTGACTTAATGTCAAGCCTCCAAGAAATCTTTTTAAAATACAGTTTCATAATCCACATCACATGTTCACGTATTTACATGTGAATATTCTGATGGCATTTACCCACCCTAGTTCCATTTTCACATATATACCTTGACTAAAACTATGAAAGGGGAACATGAGTTAAGATGTGTGGTACTGCCGGGCGCCGGTGGCTCACGCCTAGCTATTCAGGAGGCTGAGATCTGAGGATCATGGTTCAAAGCCAGTCTGGGCAGCAAAGTCCGTGAGACTCTTATCTCCAATAAACCACCAGAAAACCAAGTGATAGAGTGTTAGCCTTGAGCTGAAGAGCTGAGGGACAGCGCCCAGGACCAGAGTTCAGGCCCTGTGACTGACCAAAAAACAAAACAAAACAACAACAAAAAATATGTATTGTCCTCCTAAACTGACATGTTGAATTGAAACCTTTCTGTATAACTACTTAAAGTTAGTAATGATAAAAAATAAAGAAGAAAATAGACTGGAAAAAAAAAAACAGAGTAATATTTCCCTCTGTAAATCTATGAGCTGCCAAATTTCTAAAATTGTCAACATTTGTTAAAGGTACTCATACTGACCAATTTTGCCTGAATTCTTTCAGTGGAGCATCAGTTATTCCTAAGCGCTTATCTGTCTGGGCACTGTATCTCCTGAATGAGACAGAGAAGAGTGAGTGACACATGCTCTCTTGTCCATTCCAGGCTTCTGGGAAGGTGGCTCTCAGAACCTATAGACTGCCAGGCAGAGCTCATCATTTGCATCCTGACTCTAAGCAAGAGTTGGACAGATGTCTGCACGTTTGTGATGAATAGATGTGCTGCTGCTGCTATCCGAGCTCCTGCATCCTCTTGAATGTCATCTTTGACTCCTTTTCCCAAAAGCAATTGGCAGCCAGCTCCCAGCAGACAATGCAGTGTGACTTGTTCATTCAAACAACCCTTAATTAGCATCCCATCTCCTTTCTGAGATACAATAGCTTATTTTTATATACAAAATACACTTCCTGCCTTGTAGAAGTAGAATAAGAGACCCAATAAAAGTGGGTGCTTTTGAACATAAGATTGGAGAGAGGTGATAATGTCATTGTTTCAAGGGGTTCAAGTCCATGTTCAACTTATTATTCTTGAACATTTTTTTAGGTATTTGGTGTTGTAGTGCAAAAAGTGATACAAAAGATGAGAAAAAATGGAATTCTTGGTAATTTGAAAGAGTACTCTACATAGAATATAACCTTAATTTATCACTATTGTTCTGAGACCTGTCTTTATTCTTCCAGTAAAATTATCTATTTGATTGAATCAATAGAATGGAGGAATTAATAATATGGAAGAAAGAGGGCTTTTTTGAGAAAATGATGCTTATCTTGTGCAAAATTATTGTACTTGAATAGAAAGATTGTGGACTATAACTAATTTATTATAATACATAATTTATAGCAAAAGTAGAATGCAATACAGAGCAATGCAAATGTATTTTTATGAATTTTCTTTTCTTTGACTAGCCTCTGTTATTCCTACTAAGTTAGGGGTCTTATGTTTAAAAAGAACATATAGCTAAGTTTAGTTGCTTGAGATAAAACACCCAATTTTTTCTTTTGGCCAAACTGGGTCATGAACTCTGGGCCTGGGCTCTGTTTCTGAGCTTCTTTTGTTCAAGGCTAGTGCTCTACCCCTTGAGCCACAGCTCCACTTCCAGCTTTTTCTGAGTAGTTTGTTGTATATAAGAGTCTCATAGACTTTCCTGCCCAGGTTGGCCTTGAACTGCAATCCTCAGATCTCAGCCTCCTACGTAGCTAGGATTACAGAGGCATGAGCTAATGGTGCCCAGCTTTAAAATACCCACTTTAAAAAAGTTATTTGCTTTTTAGATTCTATACATTTAACATCAGAGATGCTTGCTCTGTGAGCTAAGATATGTATCATTATGTTGAAAATAGCTTGGGTAATAAAAGAGATCATTTTTAAATGATCATGTAAGAGGGATAGGTTGTGGGATATTGTTTAAAATTGCTATTGCTATAGGAAATTATTCTTATCGTTCCGGCTCAACATTATTCATATTGATACAGATTTAGTATTAAAAGTAATTTCACCCTTTGCCCTTTGGTCCCTCCATACCTCTTTGATAGGCAGAGAAGATTGTAAATCATATTATTTTATCATTTTTATTTTACAGTACCAGGATTTGAACTCAGGGCCTAACACTTGCTGGGCAGGTACTCTACCATTTAAACCGTGTTTCTAGCTCTTTTTTTAAAAAACAAACATTTCAAGTAGTGTCTTGAGTTTTACTGGGGGCAATCTGGAATAGAATCCTTCTATTTATGCCTCTCAAGTAGTTGGGATGACAGGCACTCTTTTATTCTTGGTATAAAGCACAGATCCTCTTGAATACCTCATGCTGACCCCTGACTTGAATGTGACTTTTCTAGGCCCAGCTCTAATCCCCCCTTCCAAATTGCCTACAACTTTGAACAAACTAATACATTTGCTTTCTTTCTAAATTAGAACAAAATATTTTATCTATCCCCTCTTTCCTTCCTAAAGTCAATGACTAGAGATTTTAACCTTGGCTATATACAGTCATGAACACACCTCTGGCCATACTCACTTCTTGCACAGTAACCTACTTTTTCCCCACCATCAACAAAAGATTTGAGGAGGTGATCCAGGGCAGGGGTGAAGAGGAAGAGGAGAAACCTGAGAGCTCTTTGGCCTTGGGTAAGTTGCTTAGCCTCCCTGGGCTCCGGGGCTTTTAGTCTAGCAGGTGATCTGTATTCCAAGGACTGATATCCAGGCACAGTATTAGTACTCAGAAAGTATTAGTCATTTGCAAGGTCATACAGCCCTGTTTCTAGACTTTCTATGTATTTTGAGAAACTTCTTGAATTACCTATCTTGATCTGCTTTAATTACAAGTAATAGCGAATGTAACTTTTCCTTTGGTGCAGTTAGAATTCGACAGCAAATTTGATTTTTGTTACTAATTTTATTAGAAAAATTTGTGTTCTCTTTTGATGTCCAATTTAAAGCGGTTAATTTTGTTTTTGTTGTTGCAATGTTGGGGTTTAAACTGAGGGCCTTGTACTCTGACTCCAGAACCACACCTTCAGCTCTGACTTTTGCTCATTATCTTTGAGACAGGTGTACTCCCAGGTGAGGTCCACCTGTATTAGGCATACTGATAGCTAGGATAATAGGCAACCCCAAGGCGCAGCTCTTGAGAAGGGGATATCATGGACGTTTGTTTATCTCAGCTAGCCTTGAAGCTTGATCCCAATAATCTCGGCCTCTAAATAATAAGATTACTGGCATGAGAAAGTGCACATGTTTGAGTCTTCGTTGACACATAGTAATTATACATATTCATGGGGTATAGTGTGATACTTCAATACATGTGTACAATGTATATGGATCAGTGTTGGGATAATTGACATATCCATCACCACAAGTATCATTTCTAAAAAAGATATACTTTATTTTAAAACACACTTTACTTGTTATTGAATAGCTATTTCCCATCTGAATGCATGTCAGATTTCATAATGAAATCTAAGGCAAACATGACATACAATTAGTAAATATTGCAAAAAAAGGTCTTGGAATGTGTTTAATTAAGCAATGGCATCTATAGGAGCTGTCATTTGACTTAATGAGATAATTATTATCTTTAATTGCACTCATAAGAGTCTTTTAATTTGCCACTTGTAAGTTTAAAATATTTATATTAGGGGAGGCTGGGAAGGGAGGTGAAGGGTAAACAAAGGAGGAGGCTGCAATGCTTGGTAAGAAATGTATGCATTTTCCTGCCCATGTAATTGTAACCCCTCTGTACAGTATGTTTTCAAATAAAATAAAATAAAATAAAATAAAATAAAAAAAATATTTATATTAGGCTAATAATAATAATAATACTAGCATAGTGCTTTCTGTTGTAGAATTATGTTACCCATATTAAAATATTACTTAATTCCTTCCAGTATCTTTGCAAGGTAATAAGCCATATTTTTAGTCACACACGATTCTTTTCTTTATTGTCAAGTGATGTACAGAGAGATTACAGTTGCATAAGTAAGTTAATAAGTGCATTTCTTGTCAAACTTGGTACCCCTTCCCTCATTTTTCTCTGACTTTCCCTCTCCCAACCCTTGCCCCCAAGTTGTATAGATCATTTCCAACATATTGTTTTCTGTATATTGCTGTTGCATTGGTCTCTTTGTTTTTCCTTAAACACACCAGGAAAGAGATTCAGGAGATTTTTACTAGCTGATTTTTCTGCCTCATTCCCTTGTATCCTTTGATCATAGATGTCCACAGCCAACACTTGATTTATATTGCAAACTTACTTAACATACCTCTCAAACCTGTCTCTCTAACCTTGCTCTGTTTTTTTCTGATAGCATATACCACTGATACTGATATACTGCATTTAATAGTCACATAGATATATTATATACAGTACATACACAGCTATCACTGTATATAACTATATCTGATGTTTATTTATTCTGTGCAATTTGTTGTGTCTCCTCTCATTAGATTTGTAAAGTGCATGAAGAAAGTAGTTGTGTTAGTTTTGTTAATAAAGATGTGATCCATGTGTTTGCATTACTGCTGGGCAGTAGAACATTGGTAATTGTTAAGTGAGTGAACGAATGAACACAAATGCACACAGCATTGTATGCTTTTCTTTTTAAAAAAAAGGACAATGCCATGCAGATTAGCTAGAGAACTTTAGCTATTGAAGATGATGGTATAATTGAGATGAGGCTGGAAAGCACTTTGGACAAACATTATTTCAAAACCTCACATCTTCTAGTCAAGTAAATTCACATCTATGAATATATCTTAATGAAATAATCAGAGGCATGAATAAAAATGGTAGCAATCTAAGCATCTACTATTAAGGAAATGATTATACATGTATAGCACATTTACATAATGAAAATGTGGCTGTTTTGTTTTTAAATAATGCTTTGATCACTCAGAGAATACTCAGAACATGTTAGGAGCAGAATACATAATACAGTACAAATCACAATTTATTTCCTTTGTGTCATTCCTATGCCTTTCCATGTCTCCCTCTACCACCTGCCTCCTCCCTGTCTCTAGATTCTTTAACCACTTAATAGAAGTCACCATCCAAAAGTCTCTGGGACTTCTCAAACTTGAAAAGAAAATCTCATTTTCTTCTTTACTGGATCTTCCTGTAACTCCCCCCTGTCTCTGCAAAACAAAACAAAAAACAAAACAAAACACACACACACACACACACACACACACACACACACACACACACACACAACCAGGTTCATGACATCCCAATCACTCACTCCAAAACTAAAAATCTGGAAGCAAACCCTCATTTAAACCCTCATTTACCTTTTTCTCATTTAGTCAGAACAAAGTGTTGTGGCATACTTTCTAAGTCTATTCTATTTATCAATATACTCTGCCATAGCTTTAATTCAGTACTTCTTTTCTTTTCTGGCCTGTTCTATCACTGCTGAAAATATGTCTCCTTGCTTTTCTCAAACCCAAACCCTCTATCTTGCCATCAACATACACACATTACAACTTACTGATATATAAGGTACAATTTCATGGCATACAAATTACATCATGCCACTCTACATCGAAAAGATTGTTAGAGGCTCTCTGTTGCCTGTCATTGAAACCAGATTTTTTAAAGCATAGTTCTCTTCTTTTCAATATTACCTTTTCCAGTATCATTGCCCTTTACTTCCTACTACACCATGTGTGCTCCAGACACTAGGCAGCTTAATTCAGGCACACTATGTGCTTTCTTTTTTCAAAGAATTGTTTTTATTTTAAAGATACTGTACAGAGGGGTTACAGTTACATGAGTAAGCTAATGAGTACATTTCCTTTCAAGCATTGTGCCTTCATGTGCTGGAGCTTTGCTGAACTATTTTCTGGGCATCTGTTCACTTTAAAAAATATTGTCATCAACAAACTTGGAATGTGACTTAGTGGTAGAGTGCGTGCCTAGCATGCTTGAAGCCTTAGGTTCGATTCCTCAGTACCACATAGACAGAAAAAGCTGGAAGTGGTGCTGTGGCTTAAATTGTAGAGTGCTAGCCTTGAGCAAAAGAAGCTCAGGGACAGTTTTCAGGCCTTGAGTTCAAGTCCTGAGACTGGCAAAAAGAAATATTGTCATCAAAATAAATATTTTTCTATAGCTTTTTCCCATAGGGAAGGAAAGGGAAGAGGGAAGAAAGGTTAAAATATGATTCCTTTATATGTTGTTTTGAGCTTGAACTGTTTACAATGGCGGACTAAACGAATCAACAGGAAAATGGGTTTGATAGCACTGTGCTTATGTGTGGAGCTTAATTGACATGAAAGATGTAAACACAGAGGAAGAATATGGTTGTGTCCTATCTTAGGAAGAATCTTCAGGTAATTCCTGCACGTTATGAAAGATAAATCTAGTATTTGATTTTTCTAAGCTCATTAGTGAGTCTCTTGCTTGCCTTTGAACATCTTGCTTCTTTGTTTAGCCCGTTGTTCTGCTAGGTCAATGCATGCATGTGTGGTCTTGGTAGTTAAAAAAACATGAATGAAAATATGGATTCTATCAGTCACTAACTTGGAAGACTTAAATGAAATGGCTCGAACTCAGAGTTTCAATTTTCTCATTTGTAATATAGAAGTACTAAAACCTACTTTATAGCATGAGACCGAGAATGATCTGAATTTATGTACAGCTGGATTTAGTGCATTTAGCTAATAAATAGCTGTGGCTAGAAGTATCTTTCACAGTCTGTAATAGAGTCAACATTTCCATCTACTTCCTTTCTTTCCAAGAGGAATAAAGATGCAACACAAACCACACAGAGGTAGTCAGAAAACTAACTCCTTAGAAGTATATAAACCCTTTTGCCATTTTCACGTGGATTTTATTCCAGCTTGATAAGTTGTAGACATCATATCTTCTCTAGTGATAGAATAATTCATGTTAAAAGACCATGATGAATTGGAACATTGTGCTCAATATTACTTTATTTTTGAAAGTAATTTTTTTGAGTTTTTTTTTTCCCCTCAGTGCTAGCCTGGCATTGTCTCTTAGCATTTTTGCTCAAGGCTAGCACTCTACCACTTGAGGCACAGCTCTACTTCTGGGTTTTTGGTGGCTAATGGGAGATAAGAGTCTCATGGGCTTTTCTGTTTGGGTTGGCTTTGAACTGTGATCCTCAGATCTCAGCCTCCTGAGTAGCTAGGATTATAGGCATGAGCCATCAGTTACTGGATCTTGTTGAGATTTATTTAGAAGAAGGTATTCAATTTTTCCAGCAATGAAATCTCTGATCATAATATAAAAATAAATATTTTCAGGCCTATTTTTTCATGTTTTTGCTTATTCTCACTTTATAAAAAGTGGCTGGGAATACTGGGATTATTAAGTTAAAGATGGCAATTTACTTATTAGAAAGTAGAAAGGGGCCTAAAATAAGTATGTACTGTGGGAACTTTCAAGATAACTTCATATTTTTTGAGGAAATGATTTTTGTCTATTTCAAACAATGAAGCTTAGCACAATTGAAAGTTGGCATGTGTTCAGTAAACAGCATTTTCCTGGTAGTGTGAAGACTACTGTGAATTCCCTTTTAGCTATGTTTCTCACTATCATTTTGATCTGTAAAACATCAAAGTTCTCTCTAAAGTATTACATTAATATCTTTAGAAAGTCTGGGCAGAAAAAAAATTAGTTCTCTTAAAGGCCAATGAATACTTTTTAGTCAAATATTTCTTGTGTAAGTTTTAGATTCTTTTTGTAGGAAAAAATAAGTAGCAGATAACATGTAAAAGATGCATAACCTAACATATTTGACTTAGATGCTCCTAGAAGAATTCTGGCTCAGTGGTCAGAGTACCTTCCTCACATGTCTGAAGACCCAGGTTCGAGTCCCAGCACAGAACAGCCAGAAACAAAAAGGAAGGAAGAAAAAAAGATAAGAAGTACTAACTGGTATAAAAAACAAACACAAAAACCAACCAAGTTTCCATCTTAAATGAATCCTTTATAACACATGGTGCTTTTACATACACAATATCTCTTCTATAACAGTAAAGAATGTATATTTAGAACTTGCCTAGAGATCATACCTCATTTTTTTCTTTGAGTTTTGTGATCATAACAATCACAGGGCTGTCTTCCTGCCAAACCATCTGCCAGAAGTCATTCACGGTGTTGATCATAGGACCCTGAGTGGCAATGAATGCTTTCTCCTTGCCACTATAGCCCTAGTTGGAGTAAAGAGACAAAAAGAATGGGGTTTTAAGTTCAAGGTTCACAGTGCAAGTTTAAGCGAAAGGTCTTCAGACTAAAAATAATCATGTAAGTCCAAAAACAACAGATTTCAGCAACTTTGTGGAGTCTAGTATCAACACACATATGATATTTTTCCATCAAGTCTAGTGTGGTATTTGGAGACCATAGTAAAGAGATTCACAGGTAGGGAGGGTTTATTGTAAAGGACCTACTACCCATATTGATATGACTACAACAAATACACAGAATACTTACTAATAAGTAAATTAAACTTTATTCTGAGGTGTTAAAATTCCCATTTTAAACAATAAGTCAACATGTTTAGCAGAAAGAATTTTTTATCTTACCCTAATATAATTTGCATTAATGTAGGTGCTCAGTGAGTCAGTTATGTTTTTTGGTCTCAAACACACTCTGCTGAGGGGATCTAATAAAGAAAGGAAGAAAGAGTATATTAAACAGATGTGCTCTTTTAAAATTCCCTAGGATGACAATAATAACAAGTAATATACTTGTAAAATTTCATATAGTACTCTGAGTGGGAATAAGAGATAACTAAAAATGTAAGATGTCCTGACACAGCCAATATGTACTATAAAATTGGCTTTAAATAAAATTACTATTAAAGATGATAAGAGCTCCAATTAATTTCAGAAGATTAAACAGTTCAATGGAAGAAGATGGTATAAAAATATAGCCTTTAATTCCTTGACATTCCTATAGACTAAAGATGGAGTCTAGATCACTCCTGCTTAGAGATGGGCAGAAATGACAGACTCACGTCTAACTCACTTCTATAGCTCACTTCTAACTCATGACAATGTGCTAAAGTGACAGAATGTGACATGTTTAAATGGTAGATTTCTTCTTGCTCCACTTTTTTAAAAAGTTTCATTTTTTTATTATTTTTTTGTGAAAATACCGTACAGAGGGGTTACAATTACACGGGCAAGGTAACGAGTACATTTCTTATTAAGCATTGTTGCCTCCTCCTTTGTTTCCCCTTCCCATCCCTTCCCATCTCCCCCCACCCCCTGCCAAAGTTGTAAAGTTCGTTTTTTGACATAATGACTTGTACATCTCATTGTTGCAATGGGTCCACCTGTATCCCTATTTAAACAATTTGTTTTTACTCTTCCCCTCCACAAATTATACCAGCATCAAATACAGTGAAAGCAGGGGTTATACCATGGGGGAGGGACATACAAAGCAACAAAGAAATCATCTTATAAATATATTAGAAACAATCGCATGAAAGAAAAAAAAACATTTGAATCCTTATCTTGGGGTTCATTTCACTTAACATCAACTTACCTGACATTTTCTGCTTGACTCAGACATATACTAGTTATTGAAAATAAGGGAAACCATGGGACCTATGTTTCTTTGGGCCTGGCTTACTTCACTTAATATAATTTTTTCCAAGCCTTTCCATTTCCTAACAAACGGGGCAATGTTATTGTTTCTGATGGAGGCACAGAATTCCATTGTGTATATATACTACATTTTCTTGATCCATTCATCTACTGAGGGGCATCTGGGTTGGTTCCATATCTTAGCTATGGAAAACAATGCTGCAATAAACATAGTTGTGCTGGTAGCTTTAGTATGGTCTTGTTTGTGATCATTTGGGTAAATGCCCAAAAGTGGGATTGCTGGGTCATAGGGGAGCTCTATGTGGAGTCTTTTGAGGAACCTCCATACTGCTTTCCAAAGTGGTTGAACAAGTTTACCTTCCCACCAACAATGCAGTAAGGTTCCCTTTTGGCCACATCCCCTCCAGCATCTGTTGTTATTAGAGTTCTTGATTTTAGCCATTCTAACTGGGGTGAGGTGGTATCTCAATGTTGTTTTGATTTGCATTTCTTTTATGGCTGGAGAGGTTGAGCATTTCTTCATGTGTCTATTGGCCATCCTTCTTTCCTCTTTGGAGATGTTTCCCTTTAAGCCTTTAGCCCACTTATTTATTGGGCAGTTGTTTCTTTGAGGATTTGTTTTTGGGGGATTTAATTTTTTGAGTTTCAGGTGTATTTTAGATATGAGACCCTTGTCTGTTGTATGGCTAGTGAAGATCTTCTCCCAATCTGTGGGCTTTCTATTGATCTTGCTAGCCATGTCCTTTGCTGTGCAGAAGCTCTGCAATTTCATGCAATCCCATTTGTCCAACCTTTCTTTGATTTGTTGTGTTTCTGGGTCTCTATTAAAAAAATTTCGGCCTGTGCCAAGGTTGCTCCACCTCTTGGCTTGATTTTTTTCATAGGAAATTATCATGGCTTGAGGCTTCTGGAGTAGCTCATGAGGCCCACATGGCAGAACTGAGGGGGCCTGTAGCTCAAAGCCACGTGGTGAGCAGACTCTTCTGTCAATCACGTCTTCAGCTGATGATGTCACCAGTCAACATCTCAACTAAAATCTTACAAATGACTCTAAGCCAGAACTACCCAACTAAACCCCTAATTCCTCTGAGATAAACCATTACATTAATGTAAGCCCATTACATCTTGGGGTAACTTGTTATATGTGAATGAACAGGTAGTGTGAAGACCAGCCAAGAGGCAGTTACAAAACACGAGTGACATTATTATTGTCACTGCATTCATGTAGCCTTTATGATTTCTATTTGGCATGTCATTCATTGGAAAATTTTAAAACTAGACTTAATTTCTAGTACAATAGTTAACCATCACTTTTCATTTTCTAGATTTATTTCCCTTAGTAGAGAAAAAAGTTTATGTCTTTTAGAATCTACTGATCATCAGAAATTTCCACAAATGTTTTAAACCACTCAGGTTTGAACAGAGGCCTACTTCCTTCAATTTGTACAATGCCTCTGATGTGTATGACTTACTGGGAACTCTATTTTATAAACTGCTTAGAAGTGGTTCCCTGCTAAGCTAAATAACATTTATGTTGGAAGTTTGTCATTTCTAGTAAGTTCCAACTATTTATGACTTTCAAAGTGCTTTTTTACTTTGAAAGCAAGAATACAACATGCAGTTGAGTAGAGGAAAGTGTAATTTCTAATTTTATAACTCATTAACTTGGACTAACAAAAAGTGGGGAATAAAAAAACCTGTAACATCATCAACATTTTCATCATAACTGTTAGGATTTTATGATTGCTATGCATTTAAGTTTATCTATTACTCTGATTTGCCATTATAATTCTTTTCTGAACAAATATGCATGAATTATAGGTAACATTTCATATACCATTTATGATATATCTGGGTAATATCAATAACAATCATAAATATTATTTGAACACTATGTTTTTTTCTTTGTCTTTTTCACTTATTTCCTTCCTTTCTTTTCCTGTCCTTCTTCATTTCTATTAATTCCTTTCTTTGTATCTACTTTTTTCCTTCTTCTTTTTTCTTTCTTTTCTAAAACTACTTTTATTAGCATGCATCTATACTTTTTTCTTTTTTTCTTCTCAACATTATCGCACACAAATACAGATCTGTTTTGCCAAATGTGTGTATATATATATATGTTCCACCAAATTTACATTTATGAAATGTCTGTATCCTGATCATCTCAAAGTATCTGTTACAATCAGTTTTCTGTTTAAAAGACGAAATGATACCTTATTCTGATATTTTGATTTATGTCATATCACATTTTGTCCAAAAGCTATTTTGTGCTTAAGATTTCCCCCTCAGGAAGATTTTTAAGGTTTGCAGTCCAGATAAGCAATGGATTAGGAAACCTTTGCCGCTACTAATGAAAGGAAAAGCCAATATTGTAAAGAGGGTGGGTTTCATAGTTTCTAGATAAATGGAAAATGGGAGGAAAGGAAGAGCTTGACTACACTTTAAAGCAATCAGGGGTCAAATTCATTGCACACAAGAGAGACAACTCCAGGCTTGCATATGTTCCAGTTAACTAAATTATAAACAAGAGTTCCTTGGTTAGATTGAATGTACTCGGAATGTGCAATTACCATGTGTGTCTCATGGCTATCATATTGGAAATGTATACTATTCCATTGATGTCATGGGCTGAGCCAAGCAAAGCAAGATGATACACTTTAAGAACCACATGGACAACAGAAGAGAAAGTAAGGGTCATGAGCAACAGTGATTTCTTCTCCATAAAATGTGTCCTTATTTTCTCAGATTTATTTGAGATGAAAAGATGGTTCACCTGTGTGTAGGTAGGGAAGCACATTACACACTGACACTTGTTTACTATCAGTTAGAAGTTTGCTAGTCATTTTGCACATGTGATCGTTGCATAGCTATGTGTGGGAATCCCTTAATATTTTAAATGTTATGATATAATATATGATATAATAATTTAAAGGGGAATTATCACTACCCTCTATATTTTAAAACAATGATAAGAGTAAATTGGGTTTTTCACTTTTGTCAATAGCATTTGGTATTTCTACGAATCAGTTAAGTGCTCAGAGAAAATGTACTTGGCATTCATGATCATAATACATTGTATGCTAATAATTTCATATTGATATATTATAGGGGTTGTTTTTACATTTGCCTTTGTGATTTCAGGTGTAGAGAGATCTGAAGTAGTCCTGAGGTTTGAACTCAGGTCTTAGGCTTGGTAGGCAAGCACTTCAGCCATGTCCCCAGCCCTTTTTTTTTCAGAGAGGAGCTTGTATTTTTCCCTGGGCTAGCTGGGCTAGCTGAGACCATGATCTTCCTCCCTGTGCTTCTATCCTAGCTGTGATCACAGGTCTGAACCACCATACCCAGCTTATTTGGTTGAGATGTATCTTGGTAACATATTTTGCTAAGGATAACCTCAAATGGCAAGCCTCCCAGCTTTGCCTCCTGAGTAGTTTGGATTATAGGTATGAGATAATATGACCAGCCTGGATAGATATATATATTTTTAATCACAAATAGTTTATGTTATTTTGAAATAACCTAATACAAACTTTATTACTTCTTTGCCATTCTGACATTATCTTGAGAGAAATATTTATAAATTATTGCTTCTTAGTTATCCATGTATCTGCAGCCAGATGGCCCCAAAATTTTACAGCTCTACTATTGTCTACAGACTGTCAAACCTTAAAAAAAAATTGAGATTATGTGTGGCTATATATAGGCCAGGTTGGCCTCGAACCTGTAATCCTGCCTCCACATCCCAGGAACTGGGGTTACAGGTATGTGTCACAGTGTCAGACTGGTAGGTAACTAGTCAAACCTAAAAGGGAGTTTATTCATGCTGTTTGAATTTTGATCGTGTGGTATTTATCTATTTGTATTATATAAAGTCATCTCATCTTAGGTTCTAAAATAAACCATAAAGTGTAGTTTTGCTTATCATTTCCATCTTTTCTATTAATTTTTCAAGCAAGAATGTGGCTCATCCAAACTGCATCTCCTAAATTGTATTGTGTGGAACAGGCCTGGGTGGAGTGTTCAGGTACAGACATTTTCAACAGAAAATCCATCATCAGTAGCGTGAGTTGTCAGCACAGGTGATCGGTTCCAGGAGTCCACCCAGTTCTGGGAATGGAACAGCTGACACAGGTCTGTGAGCAGCTGACTGATAACATTTGGGCAGGAAGTAGAGAAGGCTGAACTTTGAAATAATCCTAATAAATGCCAAATCCCTCTGAAATGAGAAGATGTATAATAATTGCAATGGATGCACATTCCTGGGTTATTTAATAGTTAGTATATGTTACATGAAGATATTGAAGTGGAAGAAGAGGAAGAGGAGGAAGAGTAGGGAAAGGTGGAGGAGAAAGAGAAGATCAGTTTATCTGTGAAGCTCTTTTACTCTCTTTAGTCAGTTGTAGTTCTAAAATACATTCAATGGTGACTATGTCTTTAAAAAATTGTGTGTGTGTGTGTGTGTGTGTGTGTGTGTGTGTGTGTGTGTGTGTGTGTGTGTGTGTGTGTGTGTGTGTGTGTGTGTGTACCGGGGCAGCATGCTCTCACTTGGCTTTCTGGCTCAAGGCTAGTGCTCTATCACTTGCAATATTTGCTGGTTAATTGGAGATAAGAGTCACAAAGACTTTTCTCCCTAGGCTGGCTAGGAATCTTGCTCCTCAGCTCTTAGAATCCTGAATAGCTAGAATTACAGGCCTGAGCCTCCAGCTCCTGATTTTCATCGGTGTCTATTTCCTAAGAAAACAGATTTAATTAAAGTTACAGACTAATGTGAAATGTTTTACAGTAGAGAGACCTGAGACATGTGTTTCTAGTTCCACCAGATTGAAAAGCTGGCAAACAAGATTAACAGTAATTCTTTAACTTCTTTGATTTCAGGGCACTACTATTAGCACAAATATGGAGAATGTATTAGGTACAAATATGGAGAATGTCTTAGGTATCTTATGAGTGAGTGACTGAATGAATACTGTTTCAATGTCAGTACTTTAAAAAGCCTTTCTGGCTTCTTCTGTCCAGAGCTACTACTATGGATTTTGTCAAAACCCCATCTATCTCTGGATGTTTGGTGATAGAAAATGAACTCTCTCTTCCAAAATACTTCTACCTGCTTAAGGCAGAATTCATCACTCAATTCTCTCTGGTCCTGTAGCATGTAGGGCACATCTGTGTTTCAGCTCTTAAGACATTGAACACACTTTCTCACTGACATGGTACTCTCTCTGCCCTTGACCAGACGGCCTGGGTGCTCCATGTCCTGGCATCCAGCCCATTGCTTGACACTGATGAATTGCACAGCGCTAATTTTTTTTTTTACCATGAACAAAGTTTATAGTAGTAATTCTCAATGTGTCCTGATACCAGCTGCATTTGTTTGCTAGAAGAAACTTAAAAGTCCTTGGGGCTGGCACAGATTATGTGATGCGTATGCACTTGCGCTACCATCCCCTACAAAGCTGTGCAAATATCATCATATTCAGTTGGATAATATCTTCATTATCCCTCAAATCAACTCTTGACCACTTAGCAGTCATTCTCTATTTCTCTCAATTCTTGACAATCACTGATGCCATTCAAATTGAGTTGTCTTTTTTTTGGGAGGGGGGATGTCTGGTCGTGGGCCTGAACTCTGGGCCTGCGCACTGGCCCTCAGCTCTTCAGCTCAAGGCTAGTGCTCTACCATTTGAGCCACAGCGCCACTTCTGGCTTTTTCTGCTTATGTGGTGCTGAGGAATCAAACCCAGGGCCTCATGCATGCAAGGCAAGCGCTCTACCACTGAGCCACCTTCCCAGCCCATGAGTTGTCTTTTTCATATTGAGCTGTAAAAGTTCTTTTCATGTTCTACATACAAATCCCTTACAAGGTACATGGTTTGCAAATAGTTTCTCTGTTTTCTTGGGCTGGCTTTGCAGTTTCTTGGTTTGTTTTTTTTTTGGATCCAGTTGTGGGGCCTGAACTCTGGGCCTGGGCGCTGTCCCTCAGCTCTTCAGCTCAAGGCTAGTGCTCTACCTCTTGAGCCACAGCGCCACTTCCGGCTTTTTTCTTTTTGCTTATGTGGTGCTGAGGAATCAAACCCAGGGCCTCAGGCATGCAAGGCAAGCGCTCTACCACTGAGCCACCTTCCCAGCCCCTGGCTTTGCAGTTTCTTGATGGTTGCATTTGAAGCACAAAACTTTTGAAGTCTGATGAAGCTCAATTTATCTTTTTGTTGTTGTTGCTTTTATTTTTTGTACTAGGCTGTGTAAATTTCTCCCTTCCTCCCTCCCTCCCTCCTTTCCTTCCTCCTTCCTTCCTTCCTTCTGTGTACTGAAACTAGGGCTTACACTCACAGCTTTTTCATTAAAGGCATATGCTCCACTACTTGAACCACACCTCCACTTTTGGCTTTTTGCTGCTTAATTGGAGATAAGAGTCTTCTCATTTTACTTGCTGGTACTAGCTTCCATTTTTGATTCTCAGATCTCAATTTCCTAAGTAGCTAGGATTATAGGCACAAAATACTAGAATCCAACTACACCTGCTTTCTTTCAAGATTTGTAGCTTTCAGCTACATGTAGGTATCTGATCTACTTTGACTTAGCATTTGGGGGTAAGGTATAAACAGGATTCAACTGTTTTTTCTTTTTCTTTTCTTTTCTTTTTTGTTTTTTGCTTCTTGATATCAAGCTGTCTCAATATAATTTGTTACAAGTAGTCTTCTGCATCCATTGAATTCTTTGACACTTGTGGTGAAAAAAACTGCCCATGATGTGTGACCAAAGTTTCTTAGGAATTTGTATCTACTGGAATTGTGTGTTGATTTTATGGTTATGTGGTGATATTATGATAAAAATAATATTAGATAAAATTGTTAATTTCAGGTGATTTTAACATAAGTGGCGGTAACTCCAAATGTGGTGTGCATATATGAGTGTTCCATGGTTTAGAAATGGTTTGGTAGAGGTCATTGGAAAAAGGCTTGTTCTGTACTTTATAATGAAAATTATTAAATCAAGAAACTTACTTGGCAAAATGGTCTTATAACGGTTTTTAGTTCCATGACGTGGAATGTCAATTTCTTTGGGATCCACAAAGTTCATTGGTATTTCCTGTAAAAACAAATGACTATCAAATTGGTATATCTAATTCTGACACAAAGCAAATCCTCATAGGGGGCCATTTGATCCATGTTGCGTTTGACTTCAAAGCAGTTTATAAAACAGACAAACACTCCTGGCTGATGGACACCCTTCCTTTTATAAACACGTTGACTGCACCCTGTCAGGCTCACTTCTAAGAGACAGCACTTTATATTAGAAAGTATTATATGCAGTTATTAAAGAACTTAAAATGCTTTTCATATTTTTTAAATTATGCTCTGCTGAGCAACTTCCTTTTAACAATCATTTCATTAAGCTAGGTGCTATGGTTTCACACTTGTACTCCTAGATAGTCAGGAGGCTGAGACCTGAGGATTGTAATTTGAAGATAGCCTGGGCACAGAATCCCAGGAGGCTTTTATCTCTAATCAAGCAGCAAAAAAGACAGAAGTGGAAGTGTGAGTCAAGTGGTGCAGTACCAAAATGCACAGCCAGGTGAGAAGGAGAGGCTTTGAATTCAAGTCCCAGTACTGGAACCACAATTTTTTTCCCATTAACTTTTCAGGCAGGTATAACATTCCCTGTGACTCCTAAAGTTTTTCTCAGTTCTTTTTTTTTTTTTTTTTTTAGTGAAAGCAGGGGTTATACTGTGGAGTTTTTCTCAGTTCTGAGTTACCAAAATAACCAAAAATCATTGTGTTCAGTAAAACAAAAATGTTCATGTTTGATGCTTTGACAATGGTAAATCATTTCTGGCAAAGCCTCAAGTAGGCAATATCTTTATTCTTTCCTTCTCTTTCATTTCACCTTCAGTTGAAATAAGAAAATCATCCTGGCACACCCATGGGTACACACATAGATAATCAGCTATGTCCCTGCGTGACTTCTCTTCTCGATCTTCCTTGTTGTTCCTGTGGGTCCTTTTAGTGCTCTAGTCTACAATAGTTTATTTCATAATTGAAGATCTATCGTCAGTTTTAAAAAAGAATCCTAGTTATGCCTCTGGTTAACTGAATGAACACTGACTGGTTGTTTCTTCTCTCAGGTTCCATTTTTTTCACCTATAAAAAAAACAACACATTACAAAAGCCAACTTTATAAACTCCACACTTGTCTTTTAATTCAGACAGGTAACAATAGTTTGTGGAGCCAAGAGTAGATCTGAACCATTTAGGATCTCTTGCCATTTCCTTGGCTGCAAATGTCTGCACTCACCATATAATGTCTAATTTACTATATTCAACCAGCATGGCTTAAGATGTACAGATGACTGAAAATGTGTAGAGTATCTAGCATATAAATATTCTCTGTGGACAACCATTAGACCTAAGAAGGTTTAATCTGATTATGTGTTCTCTGGTGTCTATATCTTATCGTGCTTTAAACTAGCACCAGCAATATTGAGTCTAAAATGGTCCTCATCATCATTTTGAACCCACTTTTGGGCTTTCTTCTTTTATTCAAAAGCACCAGGCAAATTCTGTTGCTCAAATTAAAAAATAAGTATCATTCTTGACTTCTTTATCTTTCACTGTCTCTTTTTATCTTACTGTCTCTTTCACCCAATGAAACCTACTTTTTGTAAAGTCTTATAGATTCTTTTCTTAGTTCCACAGCATTATCTCTAGAGCCTCCAAACTGCTTCTGTCTAGGACCATCTTTCTAAAACATAGGTTAAGTCTAGATGCCTAAATACATATTAAGACTTGTGGGATTTAGACTGGTGTCATCTGATAGTTCCGAGGCTTTCTCTATATCCTATGGTGACTTCAATGCTTCCAGTTACAGCAAACAATTTTAAATTCTCTGAACAGCAGCAGCAAGGGACAAGGACATTTCTTTATTCTAAAACTATCTGATCAAATATTACAAACTCAGTTTCAACTTAGACATGGTATTGTAATACTTAATCAATCATTGTCATGACAGGGGGTGGATCCGAAATCATTAAATTCTACCTTTTGAAGTGTAACTAATTTGTTTCCTGTAAGCTGCTTGTGTATAAGGCAGTATCATTTCCACATGATATGGAAGAATAAATAATCAATAGCAGGCTCACCATGAATTCACTTTGGAGTAAATGTGAACTTGCTACGACGTCCCTCAGCTGTGACCTTGTGAGAATTCGACTGGCTGATTGCAGGTACTCCATAGCTACTTTCTCTCGAGGTGTTGGTACAGCCACAAATGGTTCCACATTCCCCAAGCTACTCATGTCCAATGTAAGCGACACATTGGATCCTCGTCTACATAAAAAAGTATGTTGTTAGATTTAAATATCACATGAATTATTTTGATCACACAAATTGGTCTTTTTGTACATGCATGCAACATGACAAGATTTTTACAGAAACAAGTATCAAATATATTTCTCTTTTGGTATGGTATGACTGCAAACAGTAGTTTTGTGTCTTTATAGGAAATTGTCAATTTTATTGTGCAGATAACTCTGAATGGAAAATATTTACTATAATTTATTAATGGATATACTTGTTTCAGAAATAATAGGAAGACTATTAATACCAAGTAAAGAATTTAAGGAAAGTGAACATATTTGAACTGAGAAATCCCATGGAGTTCAGTATAAAACAGTATAGTTTTCTAATGTTTTATACATTCTATAGTGTATCTATATATGTTTCAAAATATGTATATGCCTTAAATAAATACAATTTTTAAAAAATGTGTCAATTAAAACTCTATTGTAGCTCAAATTATTGCTATTAAAACAGAATTTAAGCTGAGTGCTGGTGGCTCATGCTTATCCCCCTAGTTACTTAGGAGGCTGTGATCTGAGGACTGAGGTTCAAAGCCAGCCTGGGCACACAAGCCCACAAGATTCTTATCTTTGATTAATCAACAAAAAACCAGAACTGAGGCATGGCGCAAGTGGTAGAATGCCGGCCACGAGAAAAAAATCCAAGTGAGAGAATGAGACCCTGAGTTCAAGCTCTAAAGTACAAGGAATATAATGAACAAGGAAAAATGTAGAAGAAATAATGCAAGCAAATTGCTCATTAAAAATTAATCCTTGCTTATTAAATTTTGGTAACAATGAACAAAGGCCTAGTTAACTCTCACCTTTTGCTTCTCTGTAAGAGATTTATTTTAAGGAGACCTTAAACCTCTAAAATTGCTTTTCACTGAGATTAACACTTTGAAATCAATGGATATAATCTAGGCATTTGCCACTAATGGAAAATACATCCTCGAAGATAAGCTATTTATCTTAAACTTTTCCTTTATTATTGAAATCCATTTCTCCTGAGGTTGAAACAATTCCCGAACACTTCACCTCAATGCCTTTGACAATGTCTCAGAGTTAATTATAGAGTTAAATTTGTACACAAATGTTGACCTTACAGACAGCATTTTCCACAAAACAGCTTTATTGTATGCTAAGTACTCTCCTGACTTGGACCTGAAATATGGTGGTATGATGTCATTAACTTAGGGGAAAAAATCTTTGCTTTTATTAATTCTTATTTTCAAGCAACAAACAATATTTAGATTAGTTGAAATAAGACAAATTTAGGAACTCTAATCAGAAGAATCAATTTAAAATATTTGGAGATTAAGTCATATCTTGTACTTGAGAAATCTTGAGATTAAATATACACATATTTTAATTATAATGTTTTAATATCATAAAACAATAAATGTTTATTAATTTGTAAAATTAAGAAGTTTTAAAACTAGAATTAAAATTTCTCCTACATATGTATATGTACACACACATATATGTATAAACACACACACACACACACACACACACACACATATAATTTGTCAGTCGTGAGGCTTGAACTCAGGACCTGAGCACTGTCCCTGACCTTTTGGCTCAAGACTAGCACTCTACCACTTTGAAGCACAGCACCACTTCTGGTTTTCTGGTGGTTAATTAGAGATAAGAGTCTCATGAACACTCCTGCCTGGGCTGGCTTTAAACTGTGATCCTCAAATCTCAGTAACCAAGTAACTAGGATTAGAGGTGTGAGCCACCAGCACCTGGTGCTCTCTCTCTCTCTCTCTCTCTCTCTCTATATATATATGTATATACACACACACATATTACTAGCATTTAAACTAAATGATCAATGGCAATGGCTTGTTTTAATTTTTATATTTTTGATTAGAAATAAAGATACTTTCTTTTCAGTATTGGATTGGGAACTCGGGACTTTGTGCTTGTTAGGCAAGTACTCTACCACTGAGTCATATTTCTTGTCTTTAAAAAAACTATTTATTTTTAGGATAAGATCTTGTTTCCTGCCTAATGCACCTGAGCCACTATCTGGCTACTTTCAGCTTCTGTCTTTGTTGGGATCACAGGTGTGAACCACTGTACCTAGCTTCCATCTGTGAAGATGGAGTCTCATGGACTTTTTCTGCCCCGATGGCTTTCTAGAGAGCTGGGATAGATGACAGGTGCATACTACTGCCACCAGCTATGGGTTGAGAAAGGGTCTTGGAAACTTTCTGCATGAGCTGGATCCCCATCTCAGACTCCCAAGTAGAAGGATAAATATATTTTCATTAGTTATTCATAAATCCTTACCTTTGAGAATTTCCTGTTCATTTTCTTTTCTGATTTTTGTACTGTGGTGTTAATACATTTATTATTGATTACTAGGGTGTCTATATGTGATAGCAATCGTTTCTCATGCATGTCTAGGTAAACACACAGTTTGTGGTTCCTTTAAAACATGAAGAGTTGTTTACATTTTATACTTTCATTCAGTTAACATACTAATCATTTATTAGTTTGTGGCACTGCTTTAATGCATAAGAATTCTCCTTGAAAGTGTGATTTATTTATTTATGGATTTATTTATTCATGTATTTATTTGCTTTTATGAGACAGTCTTACTCTGTAGCCTCGGCTGGTCTTCAGCTTAAATCCTCTTGCCTCAGCCTCACAAATGCTGAGATTATAGGCCTGCACAGGCTGACATAGTCTGACTAGGTTTTTATAAAATTTAATCTTTAAATCTATTTGTAATTTATTTTGAAATATGGTAAAAAAAAAAATTCTTGAGGTCTATTTTCTCCCAAATAGGTTGTCTACATTTCTAACCCATTTTACCAAAAAATCTAGGGGAGGAATATTTTCACAGATATGGGAATGTTAGGCTTCTACTAGCTATTATTGACTAACAGTCTGAGCAAGAGTGTGCGCTTGTTCTAATGAGTGAATAAGCAAAAACACTATGAAGGTAAGAAACAATTAGAAAAGCATTTCAGAAACAAAATAAACATAAATTTAGGAGAGATTCAAATGAGAACAGAATTTAGAGAAAAATTCATAGAAGTAATAAAAACATTTAGGCCTTTAGTAAAAGCAGAGTATGGGAAAGTAAGAACACAATCTCCTGTTGAAAGCATGTCTTCTATTTTGTCCCGTAATTGTGGACAAACTGTTTAGCCTTTTTCTGCCTCACGATAGCAGTTCGACGAAAGGAACATAATAAAAAGCTTTATCAAAAACCTGCCACAGCACCAATTATTATTTATGCCAAAAAGTAAATAGGAGGGAGGAAATTCAAAAGATACCAATGCAAACAATTGAAGGAAAAAGCAAATTCTTGCGGAAAGGTAAAAGGAATGCAATGTACAGCAGTGTTAATTACAATTAAGTGAAAAGGAAAAACATGTATAAATATTATGGGCCAGGGCCACACAGCAGAATATAAACAGCTCTGGTATGAAGCTCTTCAGCTCTGCCTCACAGCCCCTAATGGCCAAGAGGTGGGAAGAAAACACAGCTAAGAATACAGGCACATTGCGACTGAGTATTGGAGTTACTCAAAACAGGCATTCACTTTACTGGCCCATGAGGGCTGTATCACTGGAGGGGAGAAGCTGGCTTTAGGAAGGGGTACAGATTCCAATGCTTGGTGTAGGGCTCCTCATTTTAGACAATCTCTTCCTTTTCATATGAACTTGTCCACCAAGGATAGTAACACTTCAAACATGGTGTCTCATTTAGCAGCCAATAAAGTATGGAAATGGGAATTTTAAAAAATGGCTCGTGTGATCATTTGGCCTATAACTAAGAAAAATGTACTTCTCAGATGATTGTGTGATGAAATATTTTCCAATGGGGGAAATAGTGGCAACTGCTTATCTTGAAGTGCATGAGGAGAGGATAGGAAAGAACGTAAATTTCAAAGATTGTAAGAAGAATTTAGTACAGAATGAAAACCAGCATATTTAATCTTTTGAGAGTACTTTGTGTTTTTGTAGAAATGTGTATTATTTATTCAGCACTGTTTTTTGTTGTTGTTATTGTTGTTGTTGAGCTTGAACTCAGGGCCTCAGGCTCTTGCTTGGCTTTTTCGACTTAAAACTGGTGCTGTACCACTTGAGCTCTACTTCTGGGTTGTTGCTGGTTAAATGGAGATTAAGAAATTCATGGGCTTTTCTGCTTTGGCTGGCTTTATAATTTCTTGGTTAGCTGGAATTACAGGCCTGAGCCACAGTGTATGGCTCAGTACGGTCTGTTAATATACCCAAGATTACCTGATAAGAAGAGTTTAGCATTGACAGTCTCTATAGATCTGAAAATGTGACCAAGAAAGTCAGTCCAGCCTGCATATCTATCATAATAACCTGGGCTTGATTGTAAAAGATATCTTTGAAATTTCCCACTTCGCTTCTTAATTAATTCTATTCTTTCAATATGTTCACATACTTAGTTTTCTAAGAAAAGCTTAATTAAGAAGGAAAAATAAAAAAGAAGCCTGTGTTCATTTACATAACAAAGAAGAAAAAAAGACAAAAGGCAGAGATGGAATTCCTTTACTGTGTGTGAACTGGCTTGTCTTTAGGGTTCTTTGCAGCTCTCAGTCCTATAGTAGTCAATTAATAGTATACAATTTCCATCTCCCCACCTTCAATAATATAAATTATATGTAGTACCTAAGTTTGGCCTACTAGAGAGGGTATAATTTGAAAAAGATACAGAGTACTAAGAAAGTGAAACTGTGATACAAATGCAACATTCCTTATTTTTAGAAGCTGAAATACATGAACAGATATTGTGACCACTCATAATAAAATATTCCAAAGGAAATCCTGTAAGGGAGAAATGCTAATAAGCATAAAAGATTCCAGGCATGAGACCATGAGGATGATACATAAATTTCATTCTAAAATATTAAGAAAAACTTACAACAAAGAAGATGCTTTCAGTGGGGAATGATTCATTTCTTTTCTTGAAAGTACCTGCTCCATCAGGTGAAAT